GTATATTCTTATAGTGTGTCACCTTTTCATTTAAGGTCTGTGTTTGTGTACAAGCAAGCCCCGCTTCAATCCCTCCCACCATGCGTACAAGCACACATAAAACTGAATTTGTCAGGCCAAGCAACAAGGGCACATGCTTGTAGCACTCTGCATGCTTGCTTGTTTTACGGACCATGGGCCCACGTGTTGGAACTGCATGATTTGTGCATGAGTCCATTTGGTTGGCAACGTCGGTAATGGCTGACAAGAGGGATGAACTCCTGCCCGAGAGAGCATGATCCCTTGCCAACGATTCTGGCTCAGATGTGGCATGATGACCTGGTCGGGGCGACCAATGTTGCGGCTTGCTCAAGAAAGACATTTGAAGCTTTTTGCGACACCATAGGTCATGATCATGACGTGATCAAGACAAGAGTTGCAAACAAACTCATATTGTTTTCTTATTCAATTCCTACAATCCGCTTGACCCATGCAAAGTCATGGCCCTGAGCGGTAAACGTTTCATCTCTGAACTTTCGGGACGCAATAAGATAATGGTGGCTAAGAAGCATGGTTTGTTCCTCAGAACTGTAAACTGGGTGATTAGAAAGGCTATATGGCACGCGATGCATCCCTAAACTGGATCTATGGACATCTCCAAGGTGGAGACGGACTAACTAGTAGGTTTAACGGTTCCCCAGGACTTGGAAGTTGGGCTCCATTGTTTCTATTCTGTCTTTCTTTGTATCCTTCCAAAGCAGCCTCAGTGTCGTTCAAAAGAAGCAACCACAACCATTTCTAATCATGAACTAGACATCTATGGGTCACATGCCGGTTTGCGATGACATCTTCTGGGTCGGCTACACCGGGAAAGCGGCAACGAATTCCGAGGACCTCCAGCAATGATGCTCAACGATATGGATAGCCGATCAGTGCACCCCTCAGCAGTGTGTCCGGGTCAGTCAAGCAGACAATAATTTCCCTGATATTGCAAGTGTGGCATAGGCGAGGCGTAGACGTTCCGCAAAAGCAAGCAGCACACAGTTCCGCAGACCAAACGCAACACTCGTCAAGCGATATGTTTGATGCTCCTATCTTTACACATGCTCTTCGAGCTGCTTACAAATTTGCAAGGTGTATCTGCCGGTCCAGAAAGGTGAATTGGCAACAAAGGCCACGACGCAATATATTATATATGTGGCGTGCTCCGCCTCATGCAGCATGACCTGGGCTGAATGACAGCCTCGACATGTCGCTTGCATCTACCCAGGTGACATCACCTACAAGATGATCTCTCTCTCTCTCTCTCTCTCTCCTTGTTTTATATTGTATTATTTGACGTCGAGGTAAAAGTTATGCCTTGCTGTCAAAAACTTGCAAACGCCTGATGTCACTCAGGCACGTCTGGATGGAAAGCGCTACCACCTGGATATGCTCTCAGATAAACTTGATTTGCCAGCATAACTACAGTGTATATGCATGATGCACGCGCAATGCTTCGCCTGACTGTGGCGCCTGCCATAGACCCACTTATGTAACAACTGACCGGTGTAAACATTTGTTTCGCCCACTAGGATGAGCATTGTCTTGCGTGCCGCCACTCGTGCAATCACTTGCCTGCAACACGGTGTGCTCTACATCATGGAGTATGACACCTGGGACTGACGACCAGCCTCGACATATGTCGTACATCAACCTGGGTTGCATCACCTACAAGATGATCTGTCTTTTGTCTTGGTACAACTAGCAGCTCTCAATCCAGTCACTCTCAGGCTTTCATGGGCCCGATCCTTGTGATTGTTGAATCAGAGACTGTACGGCACTCACGATGTTCAGCATCAGGGAAGGCCTTGAGGTGTCAAACATTCCGCCATACTTTGGCAGCAAAGCGTTCCTCGGATGCATGGGATGTTGTGTCTCTTCGACCATGTAAGCTCACTCTTTCTGAGGCAAGGCAGTCAAACCATGTGAGCCGTCGCTGGTAGGCTAGTACCAAGGTGTGCAAGACCTTTGCAAAGCTGCCAACGAGCGGCAAGCAGTGGAGCTGGCGGATTGCTTGCCGTGTTGACCGTGTTGGCACGCATGTCGTGTTTGTTACTCAATGTCTTGAATGATGAAGTGAGGTGATGCTTTGAAGTGCTGGAATGTGTTTACCAGGTTTTTCCAGTCGAGCCTGCAATGTCAAATGACGTTGGATGCCCCTGCTAGCGATTGGATATCGCCATGAAACAAAAAAAACTGGCTTCTCAGCTGCGTGATATACACTGCTGCCGGACTTTTGCCGATTGGAAGTGGTAGCAATCCTTGTTGCCTGACAAGTTTAGATGTCCATCATTGAATCCAACTGATGACACCTTGCTGACAGTATTCATGAAATGTGGCTTCCTCAGCAAAACTTGGGCAAGTGGAATAGGCGAACAATGGCAAAAGCGGTTAACTTGTCAAACTGGCGCGTGGGCGTTGCTAGCGACATACCCTGGCCAGGTTTCATGCTGTTTGGCGAGATGCGCGGAATCTACCCGTGGACCCCATTGATGTTTGGACCTGAGGGGCTGGTCCTTGCAACGGTTCAAGTGGGGGGGCAGCCAGGTGGCCTGTTTGCTCGTGCAATTGTGCATGTGTGTGTGTGTTGCATGTCCAGCAGTAGTACTTCAGACAGTAAGATACGATCTCCTTGCCAACGGATGCAGCCTGAGGCTTGGTATTGTAAGCATTCCGCTGGAGGGGGCGACAGTCATGGCCCGCATTTGGGGGCTTATCGGGGGTCCATTTTGAGCGGCAACAATATTGTACTATTGCATGTACTGAGGGCAATTTGGATCAGTACCACGGCTTCGTACGGCTTCTGTCGCTGGTTTCTTGCCACAAAGCCGCTGAGACACAGATCAACGAGTACTACTTGTTCCATGGCTACGGGCTCAGCCAGTCGGAAGCGTGGCATCTCTGATTTGGTGCTTGGAGGACGACCGCTTGGAGACATCATTGGCAGCTGCAATCCGTAGCTTCCCCCAGGCTGATAGCTAACCCAAGGGTCCAAGTTTAGCTTCCGTTTCAAACGCGCTCAATTCGTCGGCTGGAATGTTTGGGATAGCCCCTTTGTTTATTGTCCACTTTGGTTGGCCAGGCGTCTTCCAGGCGACATGGCATCCCAGATCTATAATGCGGAAGGAGCCTCGAATCTAAGAGCCTGTGCTGCATGGCCGGCTTTCACTGGAGTGCTGCCATATTAAACAATGACAACTAAGTAGGATGAGTGTTGAGTGGGTGCAACACGCTGCAATGCGACTGAACCCAAGCAACTCCAAACCATGCCCATGTTCGCTCAACCTCGTGTAAGAAGGGGGGGGGAATTGTCATGTGAAAACCGAGCTCCAAACTCCCATCAGTTTGTCATGTTGACCTCCCTCCGCATCATTCGGGCTAAGGTACGAGGCCAGAAGCAGCCAATGCGATCACCGAAGGTGCCGCAAGAGGGAGGGGGAGATGAACCCACTGGGACATGGTCTCCCATGCCAAATATGAGAAGCCAGTTTCATCGAAAGGAAACGGGATGGATAATTGTTTGATTTGCCAGAGTCCTCCATGAAGAAAAAGTGCGGGACGCGTATACCGTCATTTTACATTCCCGAGCTGATTCAAGAAATTGTCTGATGACAAAAGAACATCCGATTTTGATTGTTGGGGTTGCCTCCTCCACGTTGATCTGCAGGATTTGTCCTTTTTGGGCCAGAGATTGGCCGTCCCATTTGCAGGAGCAACCCCCACTGAATAGCCTGAAACGGAAAGGAGATCTTCAGAGTACCAACAGCATTGCGACTGAGAAGCTCTTGGCAAGCAAGCACAGGAATTTTTGGGGGTCGCTTTGGTGAGTTGGCATTTTGTTTGCGGCTCCTTACCCTTGCTCTTCGCACCCTGTTCCAGCCAGTCAGGTATTTGGCCTGGACGATCATTTGTTTCAGACTGGTCAAGGCTGAAGGCAGTGCCTCCTTCAAAGCGAATGTGCAGCCACGGATGGCTTCTAGGCTGAAAGGGTCAGCCAGACCAACACAGACAGGCAAAAGGCAAAAGCCAAAGGGAGCGAAATGGCACCTCTAGGCACTTGTTCTGTTTGCGCTCGTTGTTGAACAACCACCTTTTCTTTTGGCTCCTGCCCTTGAACACCAAGGATGGTTGGACTCTCACTTGCTGTCAGCTGTTTGTGAACAACCACATCCTCCAACGCATTTGCGAGTGAGCGTCAGATGTCTAGGTGATTTCCGGCTGGACTTGGCTGGCTCCAATGCCCTTGGCCCCAGGGCCAAAGGCCGCGGGGTTGGGCTGGCCGGAGGAACATGAGACACAACGTAGCGAGCATCTTTTCCAGCCACGCGTGTATTTGGCGTGAAGGAAATTCCTAGAAGCCCCCGAGCCCCAAGAAGGGAACAAGCCCAGAAGCCCAATGATGAAGCTGTGGTTTGTGGACTCCGACAAGTCCTGTTATACAACAATGGGACACTGACGCTTGCGAACAGCTGCCGAGTGGTCAACGCCTTTCGCATTCGAAAGGGCGCGCAACGACACTCAAGGTCCCCAACAGCTGTTGACTTGGCTTAGTTGGTTGCACGATGCGAATCCTGCAAGTCTGCATTCTTGAGGGGTGCTTCTGTTCATCACTCGGTCACCAGATCGCGGCCAAAGTTAAGCAAGACCTTCCGTGTACATGCATGGCTTACGCAGCAGAGCGACGGCCAACAAAAAACAGCGTTCCAATCGTATTGTTTTAATGTTTATGTATATAATGTTCCAGGCCTGCACCCGCGCACCTCCCCCCCCCCTGTGGATGCGGGGTTGCTTGAGTGTGGGTTTTTTAACGATTGGACGAATGCTGCCTTTCAGTCAGGGTCTAGGGCTGCTTGAATGTTGTCGGGGCACCTTAATGACACAACATCTCACTCGCAACAGGCAGCGGTGTCACAACAAGGAGAGGGGGGAGGTTGTAAATGGGGGTGGGTCCAAGAGACCCCCGAGTGTACACCTCGCAGGTCCCTGGTGTGGATCTACTCCGATGCAGAATAAGTATATACATGGAAGAGGTCGAAGACCAAGTGTGCAAGCAGTGTTTGGTCTCCTGACGGAGGCAATTGCACAATGTACCACAATCAGCTGGAATATCCTCTTTCGTATTCCTGTTGCCTCTTGCGTTTCAGCTTCTCCTCGGACATGTTTGGGTGAGGATGGCGTCCTTCCCAGCATGAGCTGCTAATTGGTGAGGAGCTTGCGCCGTTCTCCTGAATTGAGCACATAGTCGTCAAATTTGTTTCTCAGAGGATGCGGTGGTTCTTCGGTGTAATCTTGGTCTACACGTTGCTTGCGGACCTCCTGCATTTGGTTACTTTTGGCCCAATGGAATACATGTCAACGTGTGGCCACTACTGGATACAGGTATGGGTTGTCGAGTCATACCGAATGCCTTGCATGTGATTTAGTCCCATTGAGGAGTGTTTTCAATTGTCATGTGAAGCATCTGATCAATGCTAAGCAAAACCGGAACTTGTCCTTGCTCCAGAATATCTGAGAGAGCAGTCAACCTTTGAGTTTTGACCGTTGGCAAAGGTGCCCTTGTGTTGCGCGAAATGTACTCGTACTTCATCTGGGGAGGTTAGTGCAACCATTGTCAAGATGACGCGGGTTCGATTTTTGGCTTGCTTGATGATGGGCGCCATGAGTTTACTGGCGAAAGCTTGAGCTCAAGCCATTTTGGGTGACTGTACTTCTACTAGCGTCAACTTCTTCGGGTGACTCTGCTAGACATGCTGCGTAACCATCGTTCTAGCTGGAGCAAAAAGAACGACTGTTCCATTCTGAGGACCACCACCCAATCATCCTGGTAAGGCTCTGCTGATATGTCGGCAGGAGCTTCCTCTATATCGGCACCATGATCCACGGCGAAGGTGATGAAGGTCACAAACTCACCGTCACCTTGCTCGGCGATGATTGAAGAAACGAAACGAGATAGCCGCGTAGCAAAGTGAGAAAATACTCCACACTGGTTTCTGAATCTATGAGTCTCTCATTGTCCAGGAGCTGGCGGTGTGTGGCTGCGTCCTCAACGAGTCGGTTCTTGAGAAGGGGGCCTTGTCTTGCAGGCTCTATTACTGTGAACGTACTCCAACCCTTCATACCGAAACCAACTAACACGGCCGTCATACGATGGAGGCAATTTTGCGTTCATCGAAAGTTTGCGTGTCTCTTCATGAGAGCTCACGGCGCAATGGCGGCTTCCAAGGAAGCCGCTGCGGGTGGTTCTTTTCCATAGTAGTCCTCTTCACTCGACACTCTGCTATCGGAGATCCGCTATCAGAATTTTCTGAAGTTGTAATATACGGGGGGTCCAAGAGACTCCGGAACATGGCTGCAATGGGCAAGCCTATTGCTTGCTGTCCTTTGCAGCAGTCCAGAGGCGCCTGCGCATGTGGCAGTTTGCAGGAGCACTTGCTCTCCGTGGAACGTACATGGAATAGGCCTGCTGCTTCTGCAAAAAAAGCAACAGAGTCCAGCACACAGCAAGGCCTTGGTTTGTAGAAACTTTTGGCTTGGGAGGCGCAGGCTGTGCCAGCTGTGCCGGCTGTGCTGCCGCGGGCTCTGCTAGCGCAGACTCGTGCGCTTCTTGCAGAGGCGCCTGGCCACGAAGTGGTCATCAAGGTGGGCAAGAAGTTGGAGCGCGAGGCACGCATGCTTGCGCTTTGCCAGTGCTCGACCATGCCTCTGCCTCAGAAAATCGCGGCGTCTACGAGGTTGCATTGGTTGTCGTGCGATCTCGGACAAACCTCCACCGCTACTTTCACAATTGCGTGTGGGCTCAGATTCTACGCTCGCGGCGGAAGGATGTACACCTCGTAGGCCCCTGGCGTGGATCTACTCCGATGCAGAATAAGTTTGGATGTTTTTAGGTCGAAGACCAAGTGTGTAAGCAGTGTTTGGTTTCCTGATGGAAACAGTTCGACAATGTACCACAATCAGCAAAGCGCACTTGTTTTCCTATCTTCTGATAGCTACAAGTAATGCGCAGGCCTTGAGCCAGAGATGGTAGGCGGATTGCTTCATGAGTGGAATGCTGTGAAGGAACAAAAGGGCCCCGGACCGAGATCATGAATACAGATAAAAAGTTGTGTTTTTTAAAATATGTATATCAAGTAGGATTTGCGTAGTCAACTTGGCTCAAAATGCCTGGAAACTAAAAGCCTCCTCCTCGAGAGAACAACAGGAAACTCAGACCGGAACGGGGAACATGTTTTCACAACACTTTGTTCTTTCTTCATCAAGGATGGGTGGGCTGACGAACGGACGGACGGATGGGTGGGTCAATGGATTGGGGTTGGAGGCTTTGGCTTTGGCCTTAGCACGGGTCATCCCCTTTCGGACCAAATGGGTTTGGTTGAGGCTGGGCACCGCAGAGACCAACGACAGTAGGAAACGAACATCAGGCCGCTTTGTGTTTCAATGTTGCCGCTCTGGCACAGTGAGCCCCCCCTCAAACCGGATCATTCGAATTACTGAATGACATCCTAATGGCATGAGGGGCCAGGACAGAAGGCCAGCCTAAACTGCGTTGACCCTCAACGGATACTTGAACCCTAATCAAGGTTGAGTGACTGCGACCAAAATGAGTAAAACCTGGGACCAATAGGCTGGACGCGCCCCAAGTGGCCCAGAAGCTAATGAGCAAAAACCGGCACCCAAATGAGACGGCTACTGTCCAGGCTGGTTTGACAAGCGCGGCAAACATGGCCCGCACTCTGGACTGGAGCATAGAAAGGAAGGAAAAGAGAATACTTGTTCATTCTTATTTGTGAGCCCGGAATGTATCGCTGGCCTCAATTGGGCGAAGGCGATGCCGCTCGTTGTCCATCTTTTAATGCGCGCCAAGGCCGGGACGCTTTATGGCAGAGGTGTCTACTTCAGCGGGGCACTCAACTAGATCCTGAGAGCAGGAGCCCAGCACCCTGCAGTCCTATCTTGCCTCTCAATTAGCTGTGGCCAGCACCTTCCGGTGGAGTGCGTTGCAACATCCAAATGAGCCAAACTATGATTACTAAGTTTGAAGCTCAGTCTATGAGCGACACTACATTTAGGCCGGGTGCACCACTGGGCGATCTGCAAGAGATCACTCGGACCCTTGCAAGATCGAAAGGACATGTCTTTGCTTGCCCAATGGGCTCAGTTGATGGTTCCTGGTGATCCAGTCACGCAGGGTCCGTAGCCGCCGAAGGGGCGGTCATGATGAATGGGGTGGGCTCCAAATACTTTGGTCTGAGAAAATAGCTCCGAAGACCTGAGTCTGCATGCACTGATATCAGTGTCAGCAAGTCAGGCCGCCAGGCCTCCTTCCGAGGTAAATGCCGACCATATGACCCAACCACAAGGGTACAAAATTGGGTCGGTGTCCTTTGACCGGGACCAGGCAAGTTTCTACACTTTGGAGCATTCCTGAGTTCAACGACTTCTGCGAAGCTTCAGGCCAAGCCACCAAGCCAAGGAGAAGACTTGCCGGGTCTACTCATGTATCTTGCATAATTTGGAACGGCTGTTTCAGGCTTGCGCCATTGTTTGAATTCCTTAGAAGCAAGAATGAAATCATTGATCAGCTGGGTACCCCGCCAAGGGTTGGGTTGGCATCTTTCAACAAGCCCCTCCCATTCATGCCGACCGTGCGCGCAAGGTGAAAGCACCGGCAAGAGCGACGAGTGCCCCAAGTTGTGGAAGTTGATACAAGCAAAAATGATCACATCGGGCCCCGATCGCCAGAAACCTGCGACAGCCGTTGGCATAGCCACAGGAGTTCTTCATGTAGCAAATCCTTTGAGCCGAAGGAGGTGCTGTGTGGCAAGTCGTCCGCAGCTTGGTTTATGTTGGCCACCCTTCATGCTGTCTTGAGTTGGACGATTGCTTGGCGCTGAAGCTGAGACACTTGGGAGGTTGCAAAGCGACTCTGCCCATTAAACATGTCGAAGCTTGATTGAAGACCGTTGCTTGCTGTTTGCCTGGGGGGTTGTTTGAAGACCGCTGTTTGTTGGTGCTCAACGCTCTTTTTTGGCGCAAGAGCTGGGCTGGTTGCTAGTGACACAGGAAGCACACCATTGTCAACCTCTAATTTCACAAGGCGAGACGCGGCTTTGCAGAACAGCTCATGCACTTGTGTATTTGCTTTATTATGAGCTGGTCAAGTTGAACATGCTTGAGCTAATGGCTGCTTGGTCTGTGTTTTCGTATATTCCTCAGATCGCTCGATTCCACACCAGCACCGCACGGCAAAATGATATATGTTTGGGCAGTTCATTGCAACCTCGTTTGTGTATTCGGTTCCAGGCTCCTTAGGCAAGCTCTTGCTGTTCGATGCGTTGCAAAGTGGAAGCACTGGATGAGAGCCTCAAAGCAGAACCCCAAGCAATCCAAGGGCCAGGCTTAAAACGGTAGGCCAGGCTTCCTCGTGACAACTGCCAGACTCAGCATGCAAAAGCGCACAGGTACGCAACAGAGGACACAAGAGGCTTGGCCGCTTTCCAGTTTGCAGCTGGAGCAGTAGGGTTGAGCACAATAGCTGGCTCCTTACTTTGTTGAAGTGGCTCCAGCATTGATGCTTTGAGGACAAGAGCTTGTGCATTGAGAGCATTGAACTTCTGTTTAAAGGTCTCCTGACATGGGTCTGGTGATGATTCATCGCGCATACTCAGTTGCAGGCTGTGTCCTCACAAGAAGGTCGAAGCACCGGCCATGTTTGCAGGATGTATAGACGAAGTTCAAATCAGTAGGGGTAACATCTTTGGCTGGTAGTCACTGTTACAGAATCCATTGATTATGTTAGTAGTGTTTCATGAATTGATTTGTTCAGCAAGCTCGGTCGGTGAAACGCATGTTGCATCAAGCTGCTGCAGTGTTTTCCGAGTGCATTTATGGAGACCGAATGTTGGCCAGCCCATGTCATGTCTTCAACTAATGTTCTCCGCCGTAGTGAGATGCAGAGGTGCGAGAACGCGCATGCTGGCATGCCGTGACACCCGCCGAAGTTTTACCAGCTGGTGTTCCCGCTCTGCCCAGCACACAATGATCCTTTTTCGGTTGGGGCCAAGCCATACAAAACAGAAAGCGTTGCAAGTCATTTGGCTTCCAGGAGTGCAAGCGATTGGTTTAGCGGTATTCAACGCACTCCCAAGAACCTTCCCACGCATCATAGCTGCTATGCCTCAGGCTGGTGCTGCATGCTGGTGTGCAGAGTCACCTTAGGTCGAGTCCTGCGCGGAGACCCGAGCAGTTTCGTTGAGAGGAGATTTCAAGTGGCCAGGCCGCGCAGGGTCTGGAGATAGTGACGATTTGTTCGCAGCCATCTGATGGTTTAAGCCAAAACAGAGGCTGGGGGGACACTCTTTGGACGTAGGGGAGTTGAGGCCTCTCGAACAATTGCAGGGCTCTCGAATTTCTAGAGGTAGTGCAAAGGATTTGTTCAATCTGATATGTAATTTGGTTGGCCGGGGCAGCGGTTTTGTTGGCCTATGTTTTCTCGAGGTGTTTAATTGGTGACAAAAAGACCAAGCTTTCCGCAGGGGTCTTCGTCTGGCCTTACAAACAGTCAATGGGTCTTCGTATGGTAAGGTAAGCTCGTCGCTGAAGATGCAGACACTTTAAGTTTTTGCTGGCATTCATTTTAAGGACGTCCAAGCGGAAATGTAAATGTGATGCGTGGGGGGGGGGGGGGAATCGGGCGGAATCCTGGTCCACATATGCAGCGCAGTGACCTGCCATTCACTCTAGTTTGCGCGAATCAGCGGCGACGAGCGGCAGCAATCAGACTCAAGGTCTCAATGGGCAAGTTAGGATATCATCATGTTCTGTCGTGATAGTATAATTTATGAATTGACCTTGCATGTTCAGCTTTGGCATGAGTTGCAAAGCATACATATATTATTGTGGAAGTGGCCGTTTGCTTCCCCAATTTGTCGCAGGTGAGCTCTGCCTACAATCTCAGTCAACCCTGTTGCTCTGGCAACCCATTGAGTGTTGAGCCGGTTTGACCTGCGTTCCGCAAATCCCTCGACTCTCTTTGAGGTACACCGATGAAGAGTATCCGGACACTAGCGCGCTTGTGCGGTGGCAGCCTTATGAAAGCGGTGGGGGTGGAAGCGGCTTGGTTCTCCACTTTGGAGCCTCACAAGGTGGCTAAATCTGTCGGCGTGGCGTCGTAGTTGTTGAACCATTTCCATATTCGTTGTTTGTTCACCACTCTAAAAACCCTCCGAGTGCTATCCTTCCCTGCACGCCCCAGAAAATCATGTTGTCCAATGCTATTTTCTGAATCAGGTCCCACAGATTGCCATAACAGATCTCTAAACACTCAGCTATCCAGAAAGAACAAAGCAGGTTGAATGATCAAAGACAGGGCAAAATATAGAGCACCGCGAAGCTCTGGAAACAGCATGTTTGTTTACTTGGACTAGCTGTTTCATGTTGTTTCATTTGCGCGCCAAATGTGGACAAAGACTATCAGGCTAGCATCCTCGCCTTAATCACCTCTCTCTGTTAGCTATTGTTTTTTGAATGCGCCGATATTAAAACATCCTATTTTCCCATGCAAAAAACTTCACAAACGACCTCGCCCGTATCGCTTTTAATGTGACCCAAAACTAAAACAACACTAAACTCCTCGCAGCTCTGGGGAGTACTGTCAGCCTTTCCCTTCTTTCAATTGAAAGCTGTAAATTTATTTTTGCCAAATCCGAATTGACAGATGCAACAAGTGCCTTCATCAATTCCATTTGAATTCCTTGCTGATTTACGATCTGGACGGCATTTGTGCCCGGCAAATGGGGACGCCATTGGACAAGTAGTGACTCCTGATGCATTGAAATAGTATGTATTGGTTGACAGGGGGAAGCCCAGCTGATATTGTTGCCCCGACCCACACCATCGCGGTAAGGCAATGCACCCGCGGGGACCACCATTCGGTGCTCGGGGACCGCGAGAAGATTCGCAGCACGCGGGGACCTTGGAGCTTGAGCAAAGCCGTCGTGAAGCAACTTGCCCATTCTGTTGGAGTCTCCTGGAGGCAAACATATGCATGCATATGTATAGATTTATACATGTATGCACATCAAGAGGCAACCCAAATGTCAGTCGTATTGGTTCGTTCACGTGTTTTATTTGTTGGTTCGTTCATGAGCGTGTGTGTGTGTGGATTATGTATGTTTTTTTGCGTGTGTGTGCCTGTGTGAGATTCTTTGTGTGCGTGTGTGTGTGCGGTTGTGTTTGCTTTGTTTGCTTTGCTTTGCTTTGTGTGTGTGTGTGTTTGTTTTCGGAGGGTTAGAGTTTGTGTCCGTGTCTGTGTTTGTGCACGTGTTCACCCTTGAGAATTTCAGGACCTGTATCAAGGAACCACTGGTTTACATGCGTGGGGCAAAGGCTGTTGTAAAAGGTGTTGTTCAATGACATTCAAGGGCAGCATGTTTCCACATCAGCTTGAAGTCGCAGTTTATGCAGTGGTCTGTCATATGTGTGAGGCAAAAGCGGTGTATTGCTTTCACACTCGCAGGTTTCGCGAGATGATCGTTTTCGACACCGACCAGGCCTTGCCACAGAGACGGTGCGCTCTCTTGCAGACCAAATTGCTGTGCCTCAAACATGTCGGCATTATGCCCATGCCCATGGCACAGCTGGAAAATCACCAGCCTTGTTTTTTGCACTGTGGATTTGGTTGATCAATTCAACAATGCGCATGCGCCATGCTTTGAAAGCCTGTTGTATGGTCAGGCCTACCCAGAATTCCTTGTATGGTACACAAGAGAACATTGATAAAACGACCAAATTAATGACAAGAATTATAGCTTTGGAGCCTCTGGCTCGCCGCCAATATTGGCCTCTCCCTTTTCTCCTTCTTCCTCCCCCTTTGTTCCCTCGTTCTCTCTCCCCTCTCGCTTTCTCTCGCCCTCCTCTCTATGCCTCTCTCTTTCTCTACCTCCTCGCTATGCCTCTTTCTTCCTAACCTCGTGTCTTTGCCTCCTGCCCCCCCGGTCGCTGCCTCTCTCTCTCTTTCCTTTCTCTCTTTCTCTCTGTCTTTCTCTCTGGCTCTCTCTCTGCCTCTCTCTCTCTCTCTCTCTCTTTCTGTGTGCATTGTAGCGTCATGTCCCCCCTGAATTGCCTCGATGTGGGTGTAATGCCCCTTCATGACCCAAATTCCCCTTCCTTTCCTTTTAATTCCCCTTCATGTCCCTGTTTTTTCTCGAAATAAGCGGTTTATTTCCGCTCGCTTATCTGCTCCTTATGCGTCCTTTCATTTTTTATATTTGAGAAAAATATCGATATTATTTATTTAAACAAAAATGTATATTTAATCCTAGTAATATATATATATAATTATAGTTATTTTATTATTATTTATATATATATATATATTGATTTTATTTGGGAGAGGTTGATTTTAGGTAATTGATATATAAAATAACAATAATATATAATATGTTTTGGAGTTCTTAATTTATATTAAGTTAATATATATATATATATATATTATTATTTGAATATATAATTAGATTATATTATAAATAATTGATATATATTGAATTAAATTTCTAGATTTGGTATATATGGTTTATCTATATATTTTTTGGAATATATTTATAGATATGATTTATAAATTTAATGATATAAATATATATTAATATTGATATTTTTGAATTTTGTTTCTTGAAACATATATATAGATATTTTAGATTTTTATATTGGAAATATATTGAATTTATATAGATGATTTATTTACAATAACTATAATGATATTATGTTTTATAAATAATTCGGAATTTATTTTAAATAGGATTATATATTAATTATAATTGGAATATTGCATATTTTCTTATACACCGGTACGGCCTTGAGGCTATATTTCTCGTGCACCGGCAAGTTATTGTAGCGATATTCCGGCCGAATCATAGTATTTGCGGCCTTGTGCCGGTTTTCTCTCCGCGGCACAAGCTCCCGCCTCTTCGCGCGGCCCGGAAGGCCCTGAAATTTTGCCGAAATTTCGGGGGGGGGGGGTTTTAATATTTGGTTGTTGTGGCTTCCGCGTTGCCGCGTGTCGTATCTCTTTATTATTCTATGTTTCTTTTCATTTCTAATTATTTCTATTATTGTTTTTGTTTGTTTGCTTCCCTCCCTCTCTCTTTCTCTCTTTTTTTTTCTTCTTTTTTTCTCTTTTTCTTTCTCTCTTTATCGTTCTCTCTATTTTTCTCTTTATCTTTCTCTTTTTTTTTGTCTTTCTTTCTCTTCTTTTTTTTTTTCCTCTCTCTCTCTATTTTTTCGTGTTTCGATTTCTTTTTCTTTCTCTCTCTCTCTCTCCTTGTTACCCTCTTTCTCTTTCTTACTCGCCCTGGTGCCGCATTATCGCCCACAGGATGAGGGATAATTTGCTTAGGTCCTGCTGGGTATCGGTTGATCTTTCTCGGGGCCGAAACCATTGTTGAAATTTATTGCCTTTACCTTATGTATCTCCGCTAGGAGCAACTTCCTGCCATGGGTCTCTTTCTCTCTCTCTCTCTCTCTCTCTCTCTCCTTTTTTCTCTTTATTTTTCTTTCATTCTTTCTTTCTCTATTTCTCTCTTTTTCTTTTTCTCTCTTTCTCTTTCTTTTTTTTTCTCTCTTTTCTTTCTTTTCTCTCTCTCTTTCTCTTTCTCTCTGTCTTTCTCCTTTCCTCTTTCTCTCTTTCTCTCTTTCTCTCTTTCTCTCTTTCTTTTTCTTTTTTTTGTTTTTTCTCTTTTTGTTTTATTTTGGTTTTTGGTTTTGTTTCTTTTTTTCTTATTGTTTTTGTTTTCCTTCTTTCTTTTTTGTTGTTCTCTTAATATGTTTCTCTTTTTGTCTGGTTTTTATAATTCTCTTTTTTCTTTTTCTTTTTCTCTTTGTTTATCTTTGTTTTTCTTTTTTGATTTGTTTAATTGATATTGTTATTGATGGAATTAATGGGGTTTTTTCTAATAATTTATTAAAGATATATGATATTTATATTTAATTATAATTTAGATATATATATATATATATTTAAATATGAAATATATAAATATATAAATATAAAACAAATATAAATATAAATTCGTGTAAATTCTAATTTATTTTTTATAAGAAATTAGATAGGATTATTTGGTGGTCTATTTTAACTACAAATATAATTTAATATATATATATAATTTAATTATAAATTGATAATATTAATTTATATAGATTATTTCTTAAATATATTTTATATTTAATATGATAAAATATTTAAGGGATTTTTATAAGGAAATTTAAAATATATTTGATGATATTTATAATTTGTTCTTTTTATATAAAATGGCTCGATCTTGAATTTATTATAGGAACATTTCAAGGAAAGAAAGGTTTAATTACGAATCCTAGATTAATTCAAACACCAATAATTGAAATTGTTTTAGCACTAATTTGAGGATTCAATATTGAGGAATATACGAATAATATACTTTTTTGTTTTTCTTTTTTTTTTTTCCGAAAACCAACCATCTTGGTCCATCTTTGAAATATTCAAATTGTTGCATTATCTCGAATATATTGTTCCATTGGATTGAACATTCGAAATTGAATTATTGCATGGACAAATCTTCCGAGAATTGTATTAAACACCGAAAAACAATTACTAAAATTAATTTCTTACATTCGAATCTAGGATTTATATTTAACACAAAAGCATAGATATGTGAATTTGTTCTTGTATTCTTGGATACATTCAAATTATTTTTGATTATAAATATTGATATTATGTATTTTATTCTGTTTGTTTATATATATATATATCGTATGAATATGGTATTTCCCTAATATTGATATAATTCCAAATATATATATAAATAATATATATATATATATTCTATTTTGAAGGCGCTAATATAATATATATATATATGGTAGGGTGTAATAATAAGATAATATTTTTCTTTCGTAAAAAAATCCTTATAGAAATAAACATATATTTATTATAAATAATATATTATTTTAAAGATAATTATAATATAAATTAAGTAATATAAAATATTATTACTAAAACATAATAATAATCATAGATTTATTTAATTCATTCAAAGAATAAAATATTACTTAAATTATAATATTATTAAATTCATAAAATTTAATATAATACTACCGAACTTGATTATATAATTCTTTATTGTAAAAAATAATGAATTTCACCCTAAAATAAACGATATTAAGGAAGAATAATATAATATTCATAATTAAAATACCCCAAAAAATAATATTATTATAGAAACTAATTATTTCCATTAACGGTTTATAAACCAAAATAAAGAAAACAAAAAAAACAAAACTGCATACGACGGCATAGGATCATATCACATTTACATAAATAATTTCGAGATTATGTTATGCAAATAAACATATATATTTGAAAATCTAGATCGCCCGAAACGATCCAAAATTTGGGAAAATTTAGCCGGGTTATACCATAAGAATTCAAAATTTCGATAAAAATCAATTATTTCCGGGGTCGAGTATAACCGCTCGCCGCAATTTCAATAATTTAAGATATTTAAAATTAAATATTATATTATGGTTCTGAAAAATAATGTAATATATTTATTATATTCTTAGATTTTACTAATATTAATATCAAATATATCGAAATTAAGAATAATTTTGTTTAGATATATTTTCAATTTTTGTATATATATTAAATATATAATACTTATGAGTCTCTGATTTGGGAAAGTACGGATGTATTGGATACCGAAAGAAAACAACTCTTTCGATCCCTTACTCGCATGGTGGAAGAAAAACATACTCTATGTTTTAGGACTACATAAACCCAATTAATATTCGAATCTCATCTAAATTATAGAGAAATTATCATTTGGCATGTAAAAGGCATTAGGAGGCGGCGTTTAGCCGCACATACAGGTGATTTTGGAGGTGTGCTCCAGGATAATGCACTGGCTTCCGTGGTTATATCTGTTTCTCTCGATAATTGTTTCGATCTTTTCTAATGCCTGGCGATATCCTTCACGACTATCTCCCTTAATTTCTGTTTGGTGGAGTTATCATTCCTTAAGCTACGAGGAATTTATGTTTTTTAGATTGAGATTCTCGGTTCTTTTTGTGTGTTTGGTTTGGACCTCGTTTTCGGAGCGGGGTAATACAATCTCCGTGCCTAAAGTAGCGTTAGGTTATAGATGAACAACATCTTATCTCCCGACTCTATTTTGTCGTTATTATCCTCGAGTATCTCTGGATTGTATGACCTATTATATTATAGATTTCATATACCAAATAATGACTTCTCTGCAATTCAAATAAAACTCAGATTATAAATTAGGTTTATATAATCCCGAGATATAGAGCATGTTTTTCATCCACCATACAAGTAAGGGATCGAAGGAATCGTTTTCCTTCGGTACCCAATCCACCCGTATTTTCCCAAACCAGAGGCTCGTAACCAATGTTTTGAGCCACATATCGACTCCGCAAATCATTATAAGTGCGTTTATGTTCGGTATATTAGCACGCTACTGCAAGTAATTCCTACGCCACCACTCCCAAAATACGAAATTGGAAAGGAAACGTAACCATTACATCCAGGGCCAACCTCGGAAAATCACCAGAACATCCGCAGGTCTTATCCAGGGATCAGTAGGTAAAAGACTTACAGGCTCCAACGAGGGTCGCGCGCCAGCCTGCAAGGCTAAACCAAACATAACATTCTTCAAAATAGTGCGCGTAGCCTATTGTATCCATGTCCCATATAATAAAAAACATGAGGCCCGAAAGTATCCACATTTT